TGTTGTTCTCGTAGCCGACTTGTAACGCTTCATAAAAATATAAACAAATATACTAAGTACTATGCTCGAATACTCAATAAGATACTGAGATTCTTAACTTTAACTGTTAACTTATAACTTATCCAAATCATAAACATGCTATATCTCAAATAAATTCATTGAATAACTTTAAATCTTTTCAACTTTTATTCAATGCCATAACTCATATTAATCATACTTGATAACACTTAGATGTTGGCATCAAATTATACATAACTCAAATATACTTATCCTTTACCAACATCATCCTCATGAATTATAACTTACTAAACTTGTCTTAATTGATATTCATAAGACTCAATTTGAAATCATAACACCAAGACTTAAACAATTTATAAAATTGTATATCAATTATCATGAGTGTTCTAACATTTTATACTTTTATCAACATACTCATCATAAATATCTCATTACTCTTAAAAATTTTAACATGAAATAAATCATATACACCACTTAATCATTTCTCATCTTAATATTATCAATTTGCATACTATCTTCAAATTATATCAAAATCTCAATTCTATCAAAAATCTTACTAAATAATCCTTATATCATTAAAGCATATAACAACTTGAACTCAACATAACAATCATAACACTTAAAAATGCATACTAACAACTTATTTAACATGAAATCAAGATGACCATGAACTTAATATGAGCATGAATTTTCACATAAGTGAATTACCTCCTTCAAGGACTTGCTCTTGAAAATTTATTCCTTCCACTTCAAAATTTCCTCCCTCCACTATAATTATCACTCTACTATAATTATTACTCCTTAAGCACTTATATAACTTGGAAATATTTTTGGTGTGAAAATTTCAGATTCTAAAGGCCTATTTATAGCCAAAATTTTGGAATAATTTATTTGAAGTGTAGAAATTTACAAATTAAACAATTTAAACTTGTAAAAATTAATCAATTTGAATATATCCTTACCTAACATTTGCACCTCAGATTTTCTTAATTTAATGCTCAAAAATAACTTTAGTTGCCACCAAAAATGCATTAATGACAATCTGATCATTTCTGTCGGTCACACGACCCGTGTGACAAGTCACACGACTCGTGTGACAAGGTCGAAACTTAATTTGAATGATACTTTGAGTCACACGACTCGTGTGACTTGTCACACGACCCGTGTGACTCAAAAACTTCAATTTCTTAACTTAGTCACCCTCAAAATATCTCGATTTTGAAGATAAACTGATACTTAACTGAATGGGATATTACAGGTTGTTCAAAGAAATGGTTGGAGGATATAAAAATGTTGGTGCTCTAGCAACGAATTTCAAAAACTTTAATAGAGATCTTATGGCTTACATGTCAGGGGCAGATGCACAACTCATCGTACATAAATTTCTCAACAAGCAGGAAGTTTACCCGGACATTACATTTGAATATGCAGTAGATGAAAAGAATAAATTAAGCCGTATCTTTTGGGCAGACCAAATTTCAAAAAGAACTTACCTCATGTTTGGAGATGTTGTTTCATTTGATGCAACCTACAACACTAACAGGTAGACAATCATTTCCCTTGACTTGACTTTGATTTATATGTAATGTAATGTGTGAATTAAACTGACTTTACAACTAGATATAACTAACATATCAACAAAAGATAACTAACCTAGCACTGACAGAGACCTAACCTAGCACCAACAGAGAACTAATCTAGCAAGAACGTACAACTATCATTGCAACGTCATAAAAACTAACGTAGAAGAGACATATATCTATCCTAGCACCTGTCTATAACTAACCTAGCCATGAAAGACAGCTATCCTAGCAGCTGCAGATAACTATCCCAGCAGCTATAGGTAACTAACCTAGCAACAACAAACTACTAACCTAGCACCAACAGAAAACTAACCTAGCACCAACAGATAGCTAACCTAGCAACAACATACAATTGAAACATGATAAAACCATCCTTGCAGAGATATATAAATAACCTAGCAACATAAGACAACTAACCTTGCAACAACGGATCTCTAACCTAGCACCAACAGACAACTAACCTTGTGCCAACAGAGAGCCAACCTAGTAACAACAGACAACTAACCTAGCAGCAAAATACAACTAACATAGCAACATCAGACAATTAATCTAGCAAGTATTATACTAGTTAACAATTTCATTTATTGTTCTAATTTGGTTTCTATCTTTAAACAGGTACAACATGGTGTTTGTACCATTTACAGAATTGATAACCACAAAATGTGTGTCACATTTGGAGCTGGATTAATGATTAAAGAGGATGAAACATCATACATTTGGTTATTGGAAAAATCTTTGAAAGCTATGGGAAGTGAACCATATTACATTATCACTGACCAAGATCCTGCTATTAAGAATGCAGTTCGGGCGACTTTCAAATAAGCAAGACATCATTTGTGCATGTGGCATATCATGGAAAAGGTAAATGTAAAGGTTGGTCCTACATTAACCAAGGATAATAACTTCACGAAGAGGCTAAATAAAATTGTGTGGGATATTTACATGAATCCTGAGGAATTTGAAGAAAAATGGGGAAAATTGATTATTGATTTTGCATTAACAGAGAATCAGTGGTTTACCACACTATTTCAGATTAGAAAATCATGGATACCAGCATACTTTAAGGATGTCAAAATGGGTGGCCTACTGAAAACATCTTCTAGGTCTGAAAGTGTTAATAGTTGGTTCGGAAGTTACAAATCTCCTCAGGAAAACTTAGTTGAGTTCTTTATGCATTTTGAAAGTGCAATGGATGCACAAAGGCATGTTATAAGCAAGATGGATCATAAATCTATGAATGCACCTCTTGAGTGCAAGACACCGTTACAAATTGAAAAAAATGCTGCAAAAGTTTACACAAAAATAGTATTTTTCGGAGGTGCAAATGGAGATTGAAGCAGCATGTTTTAGATGTGTGCCTGTGCATATTGAAAAGGAGCATGAAACAACCAGATATAAGGTTGTAGAAGTTGGTCGAGATGGTTTTCAATTCATTGTTAATAAGTGTGGGGATTTGGTGGATTGCAGCTGAAAAATGTTTCAACAGTTTGGATTGTTGTGTCGTCACACAATATGCTAGTCAAGGATTTAGAGCGAATACCAGAGAAATACCTCCTCAACCATTGACTGAAGGGTGCTTCTTCTGGACATGAGATTGATAACGCAAGATTTAATCCACTTGATGGAAAAAATCAAAGAAATGCATATCTAAACAGTCTATGGTCTGATTTTTATTGTTGCATAAGTCTTGCTGAAGGTAACAAGGATAAATTGGTACGATTATCGAGGATTATAAATGAAGAAAAGAACCATTTGTTGGATGCACATCAAGTTTCAAGTTCAATCCTAAGTAAAGAAGCTATGATACAAGAATTCTTTGGATCCGTTTTGAATCCTGATGTTGATATTCTGCCACCAAAGCAAGCAAAGAACAAGGGAAGTGGAAGCACCACAAAAAGCCGACTGCTGTCACAAAAAGAAAAATCCATCAAAGAAATTTAAAAGCTGAAAAGGCGTTTTTGAAAATATGGAGAAGTGGGAAATCATAATAGTAGAACTTGTAATAAGACTAGTGACATATCTTCTTGTAATAAATAGTTGCTACTGCATAGTATTGTTCCAGAAACATAGCATCTATATAGAACTATCCAAGCAACAATAGAGAACTAACCTTGCACTAACTGACAACTAACCTAGCACCAATATACAACTAATATTGAAACATGACGAAACTAACCTTGCAAAGATATATATTTAACCTAGCAACATAAGATGCAACTGCAGATAACAGAGAAAAAGCCTAATGCTCTCGCCTCTCTCTAATCTCTCTCTAGGAACCTGCCGATTTT